GTGCAGGCTTTCTGTCCTTGCTTTGGGTGAGACGTGCCATGCTGTAGCTTTCAGCCGCTCTGTTTTAACGTCTTGCTGGCTGTGCCCCCACGAGCCAGCCCCGTTCGAGAGCAAACGTGTGCAGATCCATGCATCTGGACTCTGCTCTCCTCGTCTGTCCTCTTGCAGCGTGGAGGAAGGTTACTTTAATAAAGTGAGAAGTGAAATTCTGCATTGTCTTTAATCAATAAAAGGAGAATTCTGTAATTACAGGATTTTGGAATATTTTGGATCCTGGAGATAAAAACGTAGATCACCACATTTGAGGATTTCTGCCTCCATTCTGTGGCTCATGCAGCCTTAAGATAGCCCTTTTATATTTTAATTTTTCCTAGTTATCTCCAAGTCTCGTGTGGGACACGTGATGCAATCCTCTAGCGGGCGGCTGGGTGCCATTCGTGTGCTCTGTGTGCTGTTGGGCTGCAGGTCCCCCCCTGGGGCTCCTGCCCTGCCTGTTCTGTTGTGAAACGTTGCACCTGAGGCAGGTCTGTGGTTGCCGGCCCTGCAGCGGTCCTGCAGCAGGGCTGTGTCCTGCCTTCGGCTGCAGCCTTGGTCCTATGGAGAGCTGGTCCCCGTGAGCGGTGGGAATGGCCATCACGTGCATCCTGCAAATCAACAGCGTGGCCAGGGGACCAGAAGCATCCGCTCCCCATCACCACTGCCGTGGTGGTGGGGATGCACCGAGTCAGGCTGGGGAGGGGTGCGTGTTACTGGGGACCCGCTTCCCAGAAGTGCATTGCCTGCTGCGCAGCTTTTCTTGTCATTCAGCCCTGCTGAGCAGGAAGACCTAGAAGCTGGGGAGTTGATTTTTACCTTTTTGCCTCTCTGGTGGAGGAGGGGACGGGTATAACTGTGTGATGGTTCAGTTTGTGCTTCTGCCTCCTGTGGAAGGGAGCGAAGGCATCGCATAGGAAAAGCAGCAGCACGCTCCTGGCAGCAGGGTACACACCATGGTGGGATTGTCTCTTTTCTCCAGAGCTTGCCAGTACATGGCATGTCCTGGTTTCGGCTGGGATAGAGTTAATTTTCTTCCTAGTAGCTGGTACGGTGCTGTGTTTTGGATTTAGGATGAGAATAATGTTGATAATGCACCGATGTTTTAGTTGCTGCTAAGCAGTGCTTAAACTAGTCAAGGACTTCTCAGCTTCCCATGCTCTACCGACTGAGAAGGCTGGAGGGGCACAAGAAGCTGGGAGGGGGCACAGCCAGGACAGCTGACCCAAACTGGCCAATGGGACATTCCATACCATGGGACGTCATGCTCAGCACATAAACTGGGGGAAAGCTGGCCGGGGGGGCTGCTGCTCGGGGACTGGCTGGGCATCGGTTGGCGGGTGGTGAGCAATTGCACTGTGCATCACTTGCTTTGTATATTCTTCTTCTTAAACCCCTGCAGAAGCAGCCAGGCTGGAACCAGAGATGCAACAATTCTTCCAACCTGCAAAGCTACTCAGTCACCTATGGCATCACAAGCACCTGCACAAGCCAGGTGCCTGCTCCTGCCTATCAGCTACTCACCCACCAGTGGGCTTACAAGAAACAGCACAGGCCATGGGCCTGCTCTTCCGTATCAGCTACTCAGCCACCAGTGAACTCACAAGCACCTACAAAAGCCAGGCGCCTGCTCCTGCTCTAAAGGCTATTCAGCCATCGGTGACCTCATAAGCATGACACAAGCCAGGGCCTGCTCCTGCCCTGTTAGCTACTCACCCACCAATGACATCACAAGAACCTTGGCAAGCCAGGTTCTGCCCCTGCCCTATGAGCTACTCAGCCACAAGTGACATCACAATCACCTGCACAAGCCAGTCCCCAGGTCCTCGATCACCACCGGTCTCACGCTGATGGGATCACTGCTATGTGCAAGGCTTCCCGAGACCTGCCGTTGCAGTGTTGTTGAGAAAAAAGGCTATGCAAAGTCCCTGAGCCATCTTGTCAGGCAGGGATGGGAGAGCTTCTGTGTACAAGGGCTCCAAATCCCGCTGGTGCACCCATGGTGGAAACGAACGCTGCTGAGGGCGTGCATCCTCAAGCCCCTCTGGTGCACTGCATCTGGGCACACTACTGTGAGCCAGCGTCCCCAGCGCTACCCCAGAGATAGGAATGCTGCTTTGTGTGAGGGTTTCAGTCTCCTGGGGATGGAGCCACTGCTCCATGGACTCCACCAGTGCGCTGGTTGAGCACACAGCTGTGTGCCTGCATCCCAGGGCCTTGCTGGTATACCGTCAATGGGAACGCTGCTGCTCGACTGGAGCACCACTGCTAAGCACGGCGCTATGGGCACACGTCCCTGATCCCCACCGCTCTCCCGGATGACTAGCACGCTGCTGGGTACGAGGCTCCCAGCGCACTGCTGCCGCTCCTGGGCTGGGAAACATGCTGTATGTCAGGGTCCCAGAGGCTCCCTGCTACTCCTGGGCTAAGCACGGCCTCCAGAAATGTGGAGGGTACAGCCCCCGCCCTGCCACAGTGACTGTCCCTGCAGGAGGGCCCACAGGTTCCTTGGGTGCCTTGTGGCTCCTCTCTCTGGTTTGTGTGCGTGGCAAGTGGGGATGCTGCTGCAGCCCCACCACAGCCTGACTCCGTACGTCAGCCCTTTGACTGAGGCAGGGGCTGCAGGAAAAGGCTCAGAGAAGCACTGTGTTCTTGGGAGAGAATTTATTTTTAAAGTCTTGCCTTTTTCCAGGGTATTTATTTCATCACCTGACAGCAGGAGAGGTGAGTTCCCGGGACATCCTTTTGGAAGCACTGCAGGACCTTGTGCTGGGCATGTTCAAGAAGCTTAAGTTTAAATTATCACGTATTGATTATGAATGCACGCACAACCTGTCCAAAGGTTTGTCTGAAGGAGCCAATGATGCAGTCAAGCTTGCTGAGCGCGTGTGTGAGCACTAGGGACCAGATGCTGCTGGTCTCGCCTCCAAGGGTGAGGAGCTGCACGGACCTTCCCTTGCTGTCACTCTGCTCACCTATTTCAGGGACTGCTGTCATGGTTCCTCCATGTCCCCTGGGGTCTCCCACGCGGTGCCTACAGCACTTGTCCTCAATGGCCGGAGAACCCCTTGATCAGGGGGTGGGCTGGGCTCCTCATCCTGCTCGGGGAAGGAGAGTGTCCCCATGTGGGAGCGGGGGCTCCTTGGGAAGGGGGGGCCTCCCTGCAGATCCAAAGGCAGTGCAGTGCATGTCTGCTGCCTTCACCCCTGTCTGGCAGAGGATACTGGCGTACGGGATGGAGGGAACACACGGAGAGCGGCCCACGGGGGGGATTGGGGTGTTACAGCGTCACAGGTCCCAGCTCGGGGACCCCCAGTGCTGAGAGCGAGATTCAGCCATCGGTGACCTCATAAGCATGACACAAGCCAGGGCCTGCTCCTGCCCTGTTAGCTACTCACCCACCAATGACATCACAAGAACCTTCGCAAGCCAGGTTCTGGGCCGGGTGGGTCAGATGGGCTGCTGTGCCTGGCGGTGGGGAGGGCCAGGGCTGGGGATCTGCCTGGCGCCCGGCAACATCAGGTGCAGTACGGGTCGCCATCGGTGGGGCGCTCGGGCGCAGTAAGGCCAGGGCAGGCCTTGGGCTGCTGCTGGGGGTCCTGGGCCGGGCGTCGAGCTGTGAGTGCGGGGTCCCCAGGACCCCGTCTCGCCCTTGCGCCATGGGGTAGGGGCACGGGGACGTGTGGGGAGGAGGAAGAGACCCGTGGGGACAGAGGAGAGACAGGTGGGGCTGTGGAAGGGGAACAGGGAAGGGGCGGTTTGGGATGAGGAATTGGCCAGCGCCAGGGCTGGGGGTGTGTGGGGAGAGGGAGGGACATTGGGGGTGGGGGAAGGGGACAGGGATGGGGTATGGACACAGTGGGAAGGGGGATGAGGAGGGGTGCGAGGGCGAGCGCCTGGGTAGGCAGGTAAGGGGGAGCCCCTTGCCCATGGGGTCACACAGGAGGACGGGTAGGCTGGGCTGGGACACCCTGGCCTGTGGCCACAAGTGCTGGGGGAATTTGGGTGGGAGCAAGACCACCCCCCTGGCTGCAGGTGGGGTCCCCCATGGCCACGGCAGCACCCTGACACCCGGGGTGGTGCGGGTGACCCGACCCCCCTTTTCTACCCCCAGTGCAGGTGGGGGTGCCACCTGGCTGTGGGCTGCATCCACGGTCCCTGACAGGAATGTGCTGCCACTCGTGCCCAGAGAGCCCGGCCCCGCACGGCACAGACATCTCTGTCCCCTCTGTGCTGCTGCCCCCAGCACTGAACCGGGCGGGTTTGCCCCCATGTGGCCGTATTTCCCACTGGGGAGGCAAACCCCGTTCCCACGGTCGGCCACGTGCCCATGTGCTCCCCATGCTCCCCATGCCCCCAAGCTGTGTGCTGGCCCCACGCCTGTTTGTCACCGTCCCCTGGTCCCAGGGACCGGCATCTGGTGCAGAGGTGCTGATGTGCCCCCAGAAGGGTGGGTGGGGGAAAGATGGTCCTCCCTTGCCCTGCCGCATCGCTGCCCTGGCCTGTGTTGGCACTGGCTGAGTCCTGCTGTTTCGTGGGCAGGCCGGTGGCCCCCAGGAGTAGGGGCTGGGGCCAGGGACACCCCGTTGGTGTTGGGGGGCTGTCCCGGTGTTTCACCCTGGGATGAGGAGTGTGGGCATGCCCCTGCACTGCACAGGGGCTCTTCCCATCTGTCCTGGGGTGGGCAGGAGCCGCGTGATGCCATGTGCTTGTGGGCGCTGGGCATGGCACACCAGGAACTCCCACATGTGTGGGGGGTGCTAATTAGTGGTTTATTGTCAGGGAGATGTGGGGGGGCTGTTGTGGCCCCGGGGCATCCCTGGTGTGGTGTGTCCCATGCTCTCAGCTCCTGCAGGAGAGGAGGCCGTGAGTGAGGCTGGACAAGGGCAGGCAGCCCTGGCCAGGCAGCTCCCACATGCCATGGCCTGGAGCCGATGGGGCTGGTGCAGCTGGGTGAGGAGGAGACCTCACATGCGCCTGTAGCGCCAGATGGCCCCAGCAAGGGCTGCAGCCACGATCAGCAGCACTGCGATGGTGATGCCGACACTGAGAGCTGCCTTGGAGCTGCCTGGAGGAGAGAGGAGAGAGAGGGGTTGCGGGTGCACAGGCAGCCATGGCCGGAGCTGCCATCGGAGCCCAACCCACCATCCTCCAGGTACCTGCATAGGGCCAGGGGCCTCTGCCCACACCCTGCATCCCATAGCCATGGGTGGCACCTACCCCATGGAATGAGCCATGAGCTTTCCTGGCTTTGCTCCATCCCGTGGGGCAGGGCGGCTCAGGACCCCCATCCCTGTCCCCATGCGTAGCACCTACCCCATGGGATGAGGAGGCTGCGGGTGCCCAGGCTGCGGTGGCGCACGCGGCAGGCGTAGCTGTGCCCGTCATGGGAGGCCACGGCCAGGACGCTGCGGAGCTGGTAGGTGAGGTCGGCGTTGGGCAGGATGGTGCTGGTGTTGAGCGCCGGGCCTGGCGGCACCTCCTGGCCATCCCGCAGCCAGGCCACGCTGATGGGCCGTGGGTAGAAGCCAGTGCCACGGCAAACGAGCACAAACGAGCAGGAGCTGGTCTGGTCTGGGTGTGCGGGCAAAGACCGTGGCCACGGGCAGCTCTGGGGGGCGAGAGCCAAGGGGTGGGGGGAGCCCTGGTGGGGCACGGCTTGGCCGCAGTGTGTGTGGGTCTTTGGGGTGGCCGTGCCAGGGTTGGGGTGGTCTCACCTTGTCTCTCCAGGTCAGCCCTCCCGTACTCAATGAATTTCTTCATGTGGTCAACACAGGTGACATTGAGAAGGTGCTGCAGGGTCACAGAGAAGCCAGTGAAGCTGTTGAACTGCCTCTCAACTTGCACTGCCAGCTCACTCTCCTGCCACCTCTCCCAGCGGCTGTTGTCCACGTCAAAGCTGAGTAAGTCGTGGGCATTGTAGGCGAGACGGTAGAATTTGGTATAGGAGCCATTGGGATACAAGTCACAGCCAGTTGTGCCCTGGAACACAAAGGGGTCTGGGGGGGACGATGGGCATCGTGAGTGCAGCTCAAGCTGGAGCCCAAAATTGCAGCCTGGCACCTGCTTCTTTGGACACAGCCCTTTCCCCTTTCCCTCTGCACCCCAAGTTGTTCCCCCCAGGGAGAAGACACGAAAGGCCAAAGCTCAATTAGAGTTGAAACTGGCCAGTGCTGTGTGAGACAACAATAAAGGCTTTTCTAAGTACGTTAATAACAAGAGGAAGTCTAAAGAAAACATTGGACTGATACTTGTTGAAGGTGGTCACCTGGCTAATAGGGATGAAGAAGAAGCGGAGGCATTCAGTGCTTTTTTTGCCTCAGTCTTTAATAATACTGATAGACCTTGGGCTGCCCAGTCCTCTGCGTCGGAGGACCACAACTGCGGGAACAGTGACTTTCCCTTTGTGGACACTGCAATTGCCAGGGACCAGCTGTATCAGCTGAATGTTCACAAGTCCCTGGGGCCTGATGGGATTCATGCCAGAGTAGTGAAGGAGCTGGTGGATGTTATGGCAGGACCCCTCTCTACCCTCTACCAAAGGTCTTGGGAGTCTGGGGAGGTCCCTGCTGACTGGAAGCTGGCCAACGTTATTCCAATTTACAAGAAGGGCGTGAGGGAAGACCCAGGAAACTACAGACCTGTTAGTCTAACCTCAGTACCTGGAAAAATTATGGAGAAGATCATCCTGGGTGCTACTGAGAATAACAATAATTGATAATTATATAATATCTATTATATTAATAATTTGCTTTAATAATTTTGCCTCCATGATTTGCTTTAACTTTTGGTCAGCCCCAAATTGGTCAGGCTGTTGGACTAGATGATCGTTGTAGGTCCCTTCCAACTGAAATGTTCTGTTCCTTCTGTTCTGTTCTGTGCTATTCTATTCTATTCTATTCTATTCTATTCTATTCTATTCTATTCTATTCTATTCTATTCTATCCTGTCCTTTCCTATTCTATTCTATTCTATCCTATTCTATTCTATTCTGTTCCCCCACGTTGCTGCTCTGCTTTACACCAGGTGGAAACCCTGCGGGTGAGAAACCTGTCCTGAGCCCTATAGCTCGTCGTCCTCGAGCTGCCCCTGCCCACAGCAGGGTCGAGAGCCGTGGCAAAGCAGAAAGCACTGCTTTGGGGGAGTGATGGGACATGGAGTGCGGGCAAGTAGGAGGATGGTGGCACTCTGCCCGGCGCCCTGCCCTTGGTTAACCAGCGCTGCAGCAGCGTGTGGGGCCAGGCGCTTGCTCCATGTGTCCTGTCCCACAGGCATGAGTGGAGAGGCCCCTTTGACCTTCTACTCCACTTTCTCAGATGACTTGTCTGGTGGGATTTGGGGTGCCTGGAGAGCAATAGCAGGGGCTGATGTGAGGGCATAAGTGGAGCTGAACGCAGCCAAGTTTTGTGCTGGGGACCAGGATGGACCCATGTGACCTCCGCACAGGACGTGGTGGTTTGGGGGTCTTGCTGGTGCAGGATGAGGCCCATTCCCTACCCTCCTGCCAGCCCCAGTTTGGGAAAGCTGTTGGTGGTGGCTCTGAGCTTTTTCTCACAGCCTTGGATGAGGAGGTACTGAGCACCTGATACTCACAGGGTGTCTGGTACAATCTGGCATCATTGGACAGGTACCGGTTGAGGTCCTGCAAGTAGGCCCTGAACAGGTTTTGCAGGTTCTCCCATTCTGCTGCAGGCAGGGACGGGTAGACCCATGGCTGGAGGTAGAGGATGTTCCAGGTGTATTTCTGCAGCTTAACAAAGACAATGTCCTCCAGGGTGGCCCAGCCCGACATGTCCACAGAGCTGGTGTTGTGGAAGACAGTGGTTCGAAAAAGGTGGAGTTTCCAAGAGCCTGTGGGGAAAGTGGGGAGAGGAAGCGGCATTGGGGTGCATGAGGATGAAGGAGGATGTTGGGGGAGTGCCAGCGCCAGTGCTGGTGGGCGGCCCCGAGAGGAAGGGTGGCTTGCAGTGTCCCTGGGGACAGGTAGGGCAAGATGGGGCAGACAGGCAGGGTGGGGGAAGTCCCCTGGTTTCACTCAGTTTGCAGTTTCCTTTCATGGCCTTTCTGAGCCTCTCCATGCTTCTCCTCCCTTTTCCTTTTTTAAGCCATCCCCCGCCCCAATGTGACTTTCTGGGAGCTGTCACTTTGCCGTGTGGAAGGGATGGCAGGGGGGACCTTGGTGCTGGATTGGGATGATGCTTCTCCTGGCAAGGAGCACCCGTGCCAGACCCGGATCCACTGGAGACCTGCACACAGTGCAGGGGCTGGGGGGGCTGGGAGGGAGGGGCATCTCACCCCAGTTTAGGGGCTCCCAGGCAATGCTTGAGACTGAACTCTAACAGGAGGCAGGAGACCGAGTTAGATGCTGCAGTGCTGAATGAGGCTCCGGTAGTAAGCAGGGCAGAGTGAAGCCTGTTTTGGAGCAGCGGGTGCCCCCCTGGCCAGGGCGTGGTGAGCGCCTGCCCCTGGAATGGGAAACAGAGGCTGGAGAGGCAGGTGAAAGGCTTGTTGTAGCTGCAGGAGGAACCTTCGAGCGTTGTTTCACAGGGGGAGAATGCAGAGGATCCAGGAACCCTTTGATTGCAAGAGAAATGACCCCGCAGGCTGAGGGCGGTGCCCAGGACCTGCTCAAGGGGTTGGAGCCCAGTGCAGGGCTGTTGTGCCGTGAGGGGCTGAGAACCCCTGCTGCCCACAGGCTCCCTGCAGGAGGAAGGCGTCTTTGGGGGCACCCCAGCACCCCAGGCCTGGCTGAGGGACCCCTTGTCCCTCGGCTGCTCAGGCGCCTGAACCCGAGTGCCAGTGGTGCTGGGCTGGGCAGGATGGTGTGGGGCAGGGAACCCTGAGCAGGTGGGCAGGGATGGGGCACCTTTGGGTGCTGGGGGGTGGGGGGTGGCCCTTGGTGATGGGGACAGTGGCCTTGTCTGTGCCCACCCCCTGCCACCTCTGTGGGGTCCCGCAGTGCAGGGATGGGAGCAGGGTGGGGGTGAGCCAGGACTTCCACTTACCCTCTGGATCTGCCCACGTCCCAGGAAGGAGGAGAAGAAGGAAGAGGAGGAGGAGGAGGCGAGGGGGCTGCATGGTGCCAGTGGCAAGTGTGAAGGAGCAAGTGCAGCAGGAGGAGGAAGGGGCCTCGGGAGCCGTGACTGCACACTTCTCCCCAGGGCTGCTCTGCCTGGGCTGCTCTGGTAGTACCAGTGTCATGGGGCGGCCCTGGCAGCCAATGAGGCTGGTGCTGAGGTTTTGGGGAGGGCCTGGCCGGGTGTGTTCCCCAGGGGGAGGTGGTGTGGCTGGCAGAGGGCTGGGCTGGGGCGCTCTGGCTGGCGGCTGTGAGTGCCAGGGGAATTTGGGTGGGTGCAAAGTCACCCCTCCTGGTTGCAGCAGCACCCTAACACGCAAGGAGACGTAGGCTGAGCCCGGCCCGTGGTGGCCTTCACCTCCTCCCGTGGTAGCCCCCAGGGGTTTACTCTGTAGACCCCTGGCAGAGAGTATTATTTGGTTTACCTGGCAAGGTTTTGGTAGCAGGAGGCCTGCAAGGGTGGCTTCTGTGAGAAGATGCCAGAAGCTTCCCCCATGTCCAACAGAGCCAGTTCCAGCCGGCTCCAAGACAGACTCGCTGCTGGCCAAGGCTGAGCCAATCAGCAATGTTGGTAGTGCCCCTGTGATGACATATCTAAGAAGGGGTAAAAACTGCTGCACAACAGCAGCTGGGAGAGAGAAGTGAGAATACGTGAGAGAAACAGCTATGGAGACAGCAAAGTGAAGGAAGAGGAGGAGATGCTCCAGGCACTGGAGCAGAGATGGCACCCGTGCAGCCTGTGGTGAATATATCTACCCGCAGTCCTTGGAGGACCCCACGACAGAGCAGGTGGATGTGCCTGAAGGAGGCTGTGGCCCTGCAGAGAGCCCACGCTGGAGCAGGCTCCTGGCAGGATTTGTGACCCCGCAGGGGAGCCGTGGTGGAGCAGTCCGTTCCTGAGGGACTGCACCCTGTGGAAAGTACCCGTGCTGGAGCAGTTTGTGAAGAACTGCAGCCCATGGGAAGGACTCATGCTGGAAAAGTTCATGAAGGACTGTCTCCTGTGGGTGGGACCCCACGCTGGAGCAGGGTGAGGAGAAAGGAGCGACAGAGACAATGCATAATAACCTGACGGCAATCCCCATTCCCCATCCCGCTGTGCCGCTTGGGGGGAGGAGGAGGTAGAGAAGTCAAGAGTGAAGTTGAGCCCGGGAAGAAGGGAGGGGTGGGAGGAAGGTGTCTTTAGATTTGTTCTTATTTCTCGTTATCCTACTCTGATTTTGATTGGCAATAAATCAAATTAATTTCCCCAAGCTGAGTCTGTTTTGCACGTGGCGGTAATTGCCGAGTGATCTCCCTGTCCTTATCTCGACCCACGAGCCTTTTGTCGTATCTTCTCCCCCTTGTCCAGTTGAGGAGGGGGAGTGGTAGTGTGGCTTGGTGGGCACCTGACATCCAGCCAGGGTCAACCCACCACGTCACCCTTCTTGGGGGCATGTCGCTCAAAGACAGAGTCCCCCAGAGCCTCAGCGTGGCTCTTTCATGGCTGTCAGGCATATTGGGAGGGTGACTGTCCCCCATCCCTCCAGCTTTTGCAGGGGCAGGAGTCAGGCATGGGGGCAGGAGTCAGGAGTGGAGGAGATCCCGACCCAAAACCTTCCCGGACCGGGGGTGAGATCAGCACTGGAGCTGGAGCAGCTTCGCACCTGCTCGAAACGCCTCCCCGCCTCAGGGGATTGGAGATGTCACTTGGGTCCGCCCTTCCCCTTCTCTCCCCAGCGAAACAGCTCAAATCCCCTCCATCTCTCCCTGGTTTGTGGCCTGCTCCGTCCCCCATCCCACTCAGCGGCCCCATGCTGGTCTGGCCCCAGGTTGTCAGTGCCCTTCTGCCAGGGACAGACGCTGGCCACGGAGATGCCAAGATGTGGGAGAGGTTGGCGGAGGAATTGCTTCTCCTGACGTGCCAGGGGAGATTGGCCAGTGTCCAGGAAAAGGGAGAGTCTTCCTGGCCGCAACGTGGGGTTTCTGCAGCACGCTGGGGGGTTTCCTGTCGTGAGCGGGAAGGAGGGTGAGAGCCACAGGAGCCACGTGCAGCTGGGGAAGTTTGTAGCTGTTTAATGCAGTGGTTTTCCAGAGCAAGTCCCTGTTGGTGCTGATGGGTCAGGGATGGGAGATGAGATGAGCAGGAAGAGCTGGCGGCGAGGGAGCTCGTTGCTGGCCGGGCAGCCAGGCCTCAAATGATGAATTCCCGGGTCTCCCATGTGGCCTCGTCACCTTTCCTGCAAGGTGGGGCCACCGTGAGCTGCACTCGGGGCCGGGAAGTTCATCCCTGCAGAGCTGCTGCTGCTGCAACCCCTGGCCCGACTCATCTGCCCATCAACCTGAGAGCAGATGGTGGGAGGGAGGCCTCACCTGCGCTTCCACCACCAAAACCCCCCGGCAGAGGCTGCGGCCACAAGGAGCAGCACTGCAATGGCGATGCCAGCGGCTGGAGCTGTGCTGCGGTTTTCTGGGACAGGGAGAGAAAAGGGCGGCCATGTGAGTGTGGCAGCACCAGGCAGGAGCTGCCCCT